TTTGTTTCACTGACGTAAAATGATAAGACTTCCAATTGCTTTTTATTAATTTATTTTATATTTAACTTTATGAAGTATAACTATGCAGATTCTTTTCATTACTTTTACCTATATTTGAATATTTTTATTCTCGATCAACTTTATCTTGTTAGAAATCAGGGTAAGAATATGTTTTTTAATATCTTAAAACCAACACGCCGACGTTTCGCCCTAACTTGTGGACTTTATCAAGGCTACAATTTTAAAAGAGAATATAACAGTTTAAACGGATTCGTCCACAATTCGCTTCTGTACATTATATTCTTCTCTCGTTGTGTTGCGACCATGCAAAAAGGTTTTCCTAATTAGTATAACTCCAAGTTCTATAGGATTTCAGGAAAAACACAAACGAGACTTTGTATAAGTTTTTAGTTTTAACTTTCCTGGATGTTCTTTTAGCGACTGGTATTTTTGGTCTTTCTCTAAACTCGTAAAGTTGGTAGTATTTGCATACGCGTATAATTAACCAGGTATAAAACTTAACAAGTATTACGAATTGTTATTTATAAATTAACGAGCACTTATACACCCTTTTCTTTTGCCAACAAATTGCATTATTGTGGAAAACGGCCAATAAAAGGCCCACTCGGCTACAAAAACTTTGTTTTGTTATACGTATAACGTAATGGGTATAGGTACCTTGTTTAAATGTTGCCTGTTATCTTTCCCTGATAAATGGCATGTAATAACGGTGGGGCATAACTTTAAAATGGTTTTAACTTCCACTTCGACGACTTCGTCGCCTGCCTGCCCCCTTATCCTGTCAGTTTAAGTGCTTTTTAGGAGGCAGCTTTTGATACTCGTTGACGAAATAAAAATAATAGACTGAGCCGGAATCAAAAATAGAATTGTATAGAACTGGGGCGTGGTACGGGGCAAAATCAATAGGGCACTGTTATCTGATTTTATTGCTCTTTATCTTATTTAGTAAATGAAATAAAAAGCGTTGAAGTCTGAAGTACAATTTACATACACAGGGTGTATCTAACAGAAATAAATCATGAAAATAAACAATAATCATTTTTTGTAAGTATATTTTTTTTAAATGATCAATTGTGAATATGTAAATGCAAATGAAAGAAATCGAATTATATGTCAAATACTTTCTATACTAATTAATGTTGTTGTAAAATAGTGTACGTACGCAGTTACAAGTTAATTTTTAAGTAATAAAAGTTGTAATTGCTGTCATTAGTTGTTTCATGTGTTTCGATTTGTTTTCTGGTCCAATGCCTATCTGATGGCAATGCTGACCTCATTTTCATTTAATGACCCCACGTCACGCTTCCTAATAACACTAAAGTGCAAATTTCTGTTAACAGAATAGATTTACAGGCTTTGACAGAGACTATAATCTTTTTTTGAAGGGATAATTGCTTTTTTAGTCAATATAGAATAACCCTGTAAACTCTATAAAAGGTAGAAAATAATTAGTGATGAGCAAAGAAAAGGCAAGACCAACACTGTCCCAGTCTTGGTGCTAGTACTTGTATAATCTTTTAAAAATGACTATGGGATAACTAAAAATTCTTATATTCGCCACCCTTATGAATGGAATATTCCTGAAAACACTATAATTTTTGTAGAATATGAAGTTATGTATTTACCAGATTTAACACCTCTCTCCACTATTAAACGATCAATATGGATAAGTTACTTATCAAGAAATTCTGAGATTTCTAAAAACATAACAAGGTAAGTCATTTTTACATTTCCTCCAATATTATTTTGGGAAAGTTGCAATAGTTATTACGGATTAAATGGCGCCTTTGATGTTAAAAATAAAAATGCCTGTCATTTCAAAAACCTTTCTAATACTTAAATGCAGACCAATTAGCATTTGTATTAAGGGGGCTGTACTGATAGGAACGAACTGAAGTCAGATCTTGGCGATAACAATGAATGGGGGTTGGTGAGCCCACGACTGCCCTTGCATTCTAATGCCTTTAAAAGAAACCCTAGGGAGTCGGTATAGCTTTTCGCCGCGACCAAAATTAATGCAAATCTTTGCTTCTGCAGCTAATAGCTGAACGGCTTTCTGTTATAAATAAAACTGCATTGCATCCAATGTCGTTTAGTGACAGCAGTCCTTATTAAAATTCTAAAGCGTTACAAAGCACGAGGACTATCTCTCTATTCATTACTTTGTGACAGGAATAGTAATTTAAATCGCTACAACAATACATAAATTTACCGGTTAGTGTTTATTAAAATGCGGAGGTCTTCGTATGAAGCACACGTGTATTTAAATTGTCTTTATTCCACACTATAAATTGAAAATGTGATAGCAATTAAAATACAATAGGGAAAACAATTGTGTATTTTACACTTTAAATAACAAATTGTATTTAAATACTTTTTACGAACAGTATTCCACATCTATATATAAGCAATAATAAATAATCGACGTGTTCTTACAACAATAGTCGTAGTAATCAGACTAATTTCGCTTACTTAGTTTTATATTTTATACTTTTTTAACTTAAATATTAACTGTTAATAGTTCCTTTTTCTGTGTACATTTAATTAATATAGATTACTTTATTGTTCAGGAAATCAAAGTAGTCTGTAGTTGATTACACCCGGCAGAACGTATTAGGTATCAACAGAAGCAAAACAATATAATAAAGCACAATTAGTTGGCATCTCCCTGTGTGAGGATTAAGTAAAGCAATTATTCCGAAAACAGAAGGCAAACTGCCTATTTCTATTAACGAACGAGATCTACTACGTGTTCTTTGTTCTAACGAACCAATGAAAAACTTCAATCTGAGCATTTGAAACACCTTCCATGCGCACAGAAGGTATGTGTAGAAACGGAAGACAAGAAAATTGCTGCAATGTTTCTCCGTTTTAATCTTAAAAATGCATACCTATTCCGTAGAAATCGCTTACGATATATTTTAATCGTCTCTAATAGAAAAGCATGCCGACAAAAATGTGTCTCCTTGCAAACAATGCTGTTAGCACGGAGTCAGACTATTACATCTGCCTTTATGCAACAACAATGAGGAATAAACCGGGAATTTTTTAAATATATACATAATAAATAATTACTAAGATTAACAGATGGTGAAAAATCATGACGAAATCGTCAAAAATCTAGAAAATTCAAATCAATACCGAGGCTATTGTAATAAACCAAAAGTGTCTGCCTCGTCATTTTCATCATCGCAGTGGTAGATGGTAAATGTAACCTTGCTATATACTGTCAACATTTTGTGGTACATAATGCTTCGATCGATGTGAATCGATCTGCAGAAGTTGGATATCACCTTAAACAGTCTACCGATAACTAAGTAGAAATTCAGACAAGCGGACGAAGACAGATGAATATCAGGACAAAATCCGATGAAATTTAGGCGAGCGGAAAAAGACAAGTGAATATCAGGAGAAAATCCGATGAAATTTAGGCGAGCGGAGAAAGACAGGTGAATATCAGGACAAAATCTGATGAAATGTAGGCGAGCGGAGGAAGACAGATGAATATCAGGACAAAATCCGATGAAATTTAGGCGAGCGGACGAAGGCAGATGAATATCAGGACAAAATCCGATGAAATTTAGGTGAGCGGAGGAANACATAATAAAGTGGTTTTAGACAGAGGCTCTTTTCATTCTTACTTTGCATAAATGTGAACTGAACCGAGCCATTTGGTTATTCAGGGATGAAGGGATCAAGCCTTTATGTGATTGATGAGTTTTTCTTACGTTGAAAATTGGACGGCTTATGATTCTATGCCAAATGCAATATTAACTGGGTTTAAGATATTGTGAAGTACCTACTCGATTAGGCATGTATTATGTATAGCTGAATAGCGGATTTTATGGATTCTATGCAACATTTGCGATATGATGAGTTAATGCGTTTGTTATATATAATACGAATTACCTCTCGCGAAAGCTCATGAGCTTTTGAACCCTCTTTACAGCAATACATACATATAACGGTATTTCAAAGAAGAGAGTCCTATTCGCAATTTTTTTGATAAGTCTAAGAATACAAAATGGGTTTTTTGGCATGTCCTGTAGTAACACTCCGTAGTGTAATAGAATGAAATAAAATTTTTACCATACGGTAATTTTAGAGATTACATTTTCATGTATTGTTCCGCCCATTACAACCAAATATGGCAGAGTCAGCTTTTTAATTTATTACCGCAACTATTCGTGTGTGTATTATAATGGCTCAAAAGTGTTAAAACTGGTTTTTATGAAACTTGTGTTATTTATTGAAAACAATAAATTTTCAAAAAGAACTGACGTATAAATATATTTTGCTTCTGCAGATTTCGTATAATTTTAAATTTCTTCATTCGATTTGACGATGTCTTTATCGAATAACGTACTTATCTGTAATCAAATATAGTGAAATTCTTCACAATTACACAAGGTGCCTACTCTTTTGGTATTTCTATTGAGTCCTGATGATCCTTCAGTCATTCTAACGAAACTTTTGTAGTTTTTAGTTCTCTTTTTGTAAGGCGTTCAAAATTTTTATTTCATTTTGCAATGTTAAAATTTGTGTCAAAGAGAACATTGAAGAAGTTTCAGCATCAATCAATCACTTAAATCATTATTTGAAAAGCCCCGGGCGACATCAATTCAAAACCAAAATATCACCACATAAAGGTTTTTCCTTAAAAAAACTGTAAACAGAATATTTCCCTGCTTAAACAGACTACCCCAAAAATTGTCACAAAAGAGTTGATATAATAATCCAAAAGAGGATTATCTTCAACTCGTATTTTGTTATCACCTATGTTGTCGCCTTTGGCATTAATTCTCACAGTACAAATGGACTTAAATCGAAATAAAAAGAATAAGAGAAAAAGCATTCGAGTGGACAAAGTGCATGGTGGGCTGTAGCTGAACAGTTGCAAAACAGAAGCGCGAACTTTAATCTGGTTCATTGTGATCGGCGCTGAAAGGATGTACTTAAAGTGTTGAATTTAATCTTACCTTCCGGTCCAGTCGCACTCATCACCCATAATTGTCCCAGATGTCAACCGCATCAGACATGCAAATATTATGCAGCAAACCACCACGCACGAACGACACCTACTATTATATGAGGAGTACACGTACGAATGCATTTTTTGTTTTTCGTTTTTGTTCGTGCCAAGAACAATTTTCGCATTCACGACCAATCCATCATCGTATCAAACAAAAAAAAAAACTAACCGCAAACGAAGAAAAATTGCTTCTTTCAATCACATTTTGTCATTTGTTATAGTCACAGAACACCCGCTTGTAAGTCTCTCCGTCGCGTAAAAAGTTTTCAAAAAGAGCGCGCGTAAAACATTCGACGATACAACTTCCTCTCGATCCGAATCCAACAAGTCTGCCGATTGAAAGTTAACAAGTGGTTTCAAAAAGCTTAAGCCGTCCGATCGCGTGCCGAATGTGAACGGAACGTGCCGAACCCAGTCCCACTAGATCCGGAAAAATCTCTTTCCGTAAACTCGTGCGGGTGGAGAGTTGAACGCTGGAATAGGTTCGTGTCGCCTATTATTATATCTTGACCGTATTAAATAGCATCAATTAAGATGCCACCTACGTTATGCAAACGGTACGCTTGGTTGGGTTAATGCCTCGTTTCCATGTCAGATTGAAAATGCTATCCGATCCCCGTATAGATAGAACAACAATTTTCCAAATAGGTCAGCTACAGGATAATTTGTAATTCATATTTTTAAAATGTACGTAATGATGGAGTGTTTGTTTATTTACTAGTAAATTTTAAGTAAGATCGTAGTCAACTCTTTTTTGCAAGGGGTAAGGGCTACTAGTGGGCAGGCAGTCCCCTTCTGTACTTCAGTCTCCTTTTAGGGATCGTGAAAATGGGTGGGTGGCGGTTGAGGTGAGAAAAATGAGACGGATGAAATAGAGAAAGATTATCTGAGAAATAGGTATTACTACCCCAGCATTTGCCTAAATGATCCAAGGGAACCACAGAAAAACCTGGACTAGGGCATTCGGATCCGGAATCGAACCGGATCCCTTTCGATTTCTAACTAATGGTTTAAACTTCCCGGCCATGCCGCTGGATAGACGCTTTGAGGTTTATGATAATGCTTGTAGGAAGCACCTAGACAAGAAAGACGATATTGGCATTCAGAGTAGAGTAGCTCATGATCCAGAGCTTCCAATGCTGAGGCTTTGGCTGATCGGAGCCTACCTGTAAGAAAGATAACATTGACATTCAAAATGGGGTAGCTCATGGTCCAGAGCTTTCAATGCAGAGGGTTTGACCAATCCGGACCCACCTGTAAAAAAGATAACTTTGGCATTGAGAGTGGGGTAACTTATAGTCCAGACCTTTCAATCCTGAGCCTTTGACATATCCGAGCCCACCTATAAGAAAGATGACATTGGCAATCAGAGTGGGGTAGCTCATGATCCAGAGCTTTCAATGCCGAGGATTTGGCTTATCCGAACCCACCCGTAAGAAAGATGACATTGACATTCAGAATGGGGTAGCTCATGGTCCAGAGCTTTCAATGCCGAGGATTTGGCTTATCCGAACCCACCTGTAATAAAGATAACATTGGCATTGAGAGTGGGGTAACTCATAGTCCAGAGCTTTCAATGCTGAGGCTTTGACTTATCCGAGTCCACCTGTAAGATAGATAACATTGGAGATATCTGCCGCAGTGGCCAACTAAACGAAGGATCACCTAGGAAGAAGGCTTATTAATATTATTAGCATTCTGGAGAGCACCGAGTTACAGTTTACTTCAGTCCCTGAAGAAGGTAACTTTGTTACCGAAAAGTGCTTCGGACAACTACAGTGTCGTGTTTTGGCGTTGGGGTTTTGAGCTTTTCTGTTTGTTCTATATGAAAGTCCTCCTTTATATTTTCCACCATCTTTTAACATTTCTTCACTCACTGTTGGGGTTTCTTTATTTCTTTATACCTAAATCTTTTATTTTCCATCGCTACAGTTCTGCTATCACTTTTCTTACATTGTTCCCATTTTCTTCGTGTCGCTTTATATCTTATAATTTATTCTTTTAATGTTTCCTCTTGTTTACATTTTCCTTCCTTATCCTTTATCTATTATTCTGCAGCTTTGGATTCACATTTAAATTTAAGTTTAAATAAAAAGACCTTTGCCCCTACATAGCCTGGTTTTTTTACATTATAAAATTGTTTCTGAGGAAGAAATGACAACAAATTCTTGTTTATTTCTTCTGCGAAATGTGTAAATTTCATACAAATTAAATTTTTAGACGATTGCTGATGATCAAATCAAACTTGCATCAAAATCCTAAACTTATAACGATCATAGCAAAAGTCTTTATATGTTTATATGCAAAGGTACTTGTTCTTTGATAAAGAAATAGATTTTTTTATCAACACTAAAATTTATGCCTGTTGTTGATAACCTAATCCGTTGTTTCAGACAACGAAACCAGAAAGAGTCCAATGGGCTATAAAGAAGATGGGCAAAGGTAAGAGGTTGAAATATGTCTTTTATGTTTACTTCCCTTAGTATATAAGTAACGAAGACGGCTTTATCAATATTTAAACAGAATAGTCCAAGAGCTTGAAACGTAATAGTCCTCTTTACAAAGAAGATAATAGTCTATGTAAGTAGATAAGTTTATAATTTATTACAAGTATTCCTATCGTACTTGATAACATGGCAGCTATATGTGATTTTTATGACAAAAAACTGGAAATAGAGAACGGGGTATGTATAATAACCACATTCTTTTTTGTTAGATCAATATGAGGTATATTTCGTTTAAATTAATGTAGACCCTCCAACAATTCTAAATTCTGGAAATTATAATCATTATAAGAAGTAGTTCTTCCTCCGGTCCCCGGCCATTTTTATTGCTCCACTATGACGTAGTGTCGGCCATCATTCTTTTCTAATTGTTGCAGTTGTCGGCCATCATTCTTTTTCAATTGTTGTCGTATTGTCACTGATGTCGGCCATTATGGTTTTTTAATAGATGTATAGTAATCAATGAATAAAATTTAAAGGAATTGTTTGTAAATAGGTATGCAACACATCGTACACTTCAGCATAATATACATATTTATTGTTATTTTAGACCTCAATTTTTTATTGTTTGTAAACATTTTGTTTTGTGCTAAGATTAATTTTAGTTTTTTAAGTTATTGTTAACTAGATTAAGTAACAGTATTAAAAAGACCATCATTTCTATATTTATACTCATAGCTTAGGAAATTTTAGTAAAATGAATAAAATGGCATCTAATTACACAAATAAATGTTTCATTTAAATAAAAATAAAAGCCCTATTTTGTGTTGAAATTAGGTAATTTTTTTGTTGAATAGGTGAAGTCTTGTTGGTAATAATATATGAGAAATTACAGTTATTTAGGTTTTTATACACATTTAAAC